TCTCAACCCATGCTCAACCCAGTCCTCCCATTAGTCTGCTCTGAGCCAACACTTTTTTTTGGAAAACAGAACATTTCCCCCCACCCCACCCTTGGTTTTCTCCTCTCAAGCATGAAATCCTACAGCCAGCCTAAAAATTCATGGAAACGGGGAAAAGAGACGTGTAGAAGTGTACAGATATGTAGAGGATCTTATCTTACTGCGCTGAACTAAAATTGAATTCTCAATCTAAGATGTTTTAGAATAGGGGGATTGTAGTTCCCCCCTATTTTAGTATCCCTGTAGGAAAAGAAGAAGGTACCATCTTTTCCCTTAGTTTCACTCCAACCTTCTCCACCCTCATGCCCTTCAGATGTGCAATCTCCAGCATCCTCGACTGATCCCCATACTGGCTTCATGGTACGGGCCCTACACAGGGGTGGGGCTGCTGGGAATTCGCAGGGGTTCGGGAGAACCTCTAGCTAAGATTCTGTGCAGTTTGGAGAACCCCCAAATCCCACTCCTGGCTACTGTATCCTTCCCCTGGAGTGGGGTGGGAATGGAGATTTTACAGTATCCTTTCCCTGCCACACCCACCAAGCCACGCCCACCAAGCCAGTGGTGGGTTTCAAATTTTTTTACTACCGGTTCTGTGGGCATGGCTTGGTGGGCGTAGCAGGGGAAGGATACTGTAAAATCTCCATTCCCACCCCACTTCAGGGGAAGGTTACTGCAAAACCTCCATTTCCTCCCAATCAGCTGGGACTTGGGAGGCAGAGAATAGATGGGGCGGGGCCAGTCGGAGGTGATATTTACTGGTTCTCCGAACTACTCAAAATTTCCACTACCGGTTCTCCAGAACTGGTCAGATCCTGCTGAAACCCACCTCTGCTGCAGGTGCCACAGACAAGAGGCTATTTGTACGAATCAGTTCTCAGGCACAAGCCGATAGCCTGAGAACGCAACAATCCTTTAGAAAAACAAAGAGAGATCATCCCCTCCCATCCAAAATAAAATAGTTTCTAGCCTTTTATGACACCCAGGTAGGAGAAATAGCTACAAACATTTGACCCTTAATTTCAATATAAATAGGGCTTGCCTTTTAATGCACAGCACTAACTGGAACTCTTTCATAATGGCTCCGTTAGCTTTTCTGCAATAAACCTTAATCAGAGTTTTTGTGCCCTTGGAAGTTTGTTCTAACAGTTTATTGTTTAGCTACCCAAGAGAAGGCTGACATTGCAGTGACTGTCCCATTCAAACTGGGAAGTGGGGTAAATTGTATTTCAAGACTTGAGATCACTAAGCTATGGGCAGGGCATCCCTAGAGGCAATCATTTCTTCTGCTTCGGCCAGTCCAGGGGTCAGCAACCTGCGGCTCTGGAGCCGCATGTGGCTCTTTCACCCTTCTGCTGCGACTCCCTGTCACTCAACATATGCATCACAACCGCCAATGTGCAACACCCACCGGCACGCAATTTATCGAGCTTTTCAACCCCTGGTAGGCTAACCATGGATAAATCCAAGAAAAGAAAAGTTTCAGAAGAAAACAGAACATTTAATTCAACTACATAAGCTAGTTTTGTGGCCGCTCGGGAAATAGTCAGGCACGGGAAGAGTTTTGTGGCTCCCGGTGTTTTCTTTTTCTGTGGGAAAGGGGTCCAAATGGGTCTTTGAGTGTTTAAGGTTGCTGTAGGAAGTTAGCACCCACCCCTTTCCTAGAAGAATGAAATATTTTGGGAAATATTAAAAAGGCAGAATATTATGTTTCCCTGGATGAGAAATGGAGAAGCATGTTTTAAAGACAAAGCAGCTCCCGCCTTCCTGGCCCCCCCTTTTGTCAATGGGCCAGAGGCAGAAACTCAATCTTTGTCAATGGACCTCATCTGCAAGACAATGGGACCCATCTATAGGACAGAAACTCACCACATGGCACCTGGGAAGATTATATCAGCCAGCAAGGCTAGCTAAGACCCCCACCCCCTGGGAGTCTGACAACCAATCAGGATACTTTTTCTGGGCCCCAGGAAGTTCAAAGCCAGAGAGAGCATAAAACCCGGGGACTCGCTGTATCTCGCCCTCTTTTCTGTTCAGGAACTCAAGCCATGTGATCCTGTCCACCATTAAACCATCTTTCCAAGCAGTCTCCATATTTCCAGTGTCTTTTTCCCCACTTGGAGCAGAACCCAGAAGGATATTTCTTCCTACACTGCAGACCCCTGGGCCAGTCCTACTGCTAAATAGAGAACTGAATTCCCAGTTGATGGCGAAGACAACCTCTGGACCATGGCTTCATTGTACCAGTGCTTCCTCTATGGTGGCATCAAATGCAAAGACAGTTATGGATCCTTTTCAGAAATATTCCATCTGCCTGTCAAGCAGGAGTTAGTCTGGCATCAGCTCTGAACTAGGCCAAACGTAGCTTCAATATGAATCAGTTCAGAGGGGGTGCCAATGCCAGCTTCGAAAGGAGAAGAGAAGTCAAGAGTCTTGTCAAGTGGCATCATCTTTCTTTGAAGGCATTAGGAGGCTGGATCTACTACCAGCTTCATTCTCATCGTGTAAAGGCAGTTTTGGGAAGGGAAACGTTGTTTTCTACTCCTAGCCTCAATATTTCTAGCCCTGGAGATTTCAGCATGGCTCCTATCTCCTCCCATCTTACCTAGACGCATGTGTTGAATTGGATCCATCTCCTCAGGAGATCCCGCTTACAACTGCCAGGTCTAATTTTCTAAAGTGTTTTGGAAGCTACCGAGTCTTTAATTTCATAGAGTTGATTTTTTTCTGAGCGCAGAGATGCTCTGAATTGCAAAGCTGGTGGGTTCTGTTTGCTTGTTTGAACATTTATAGCAAACTTTTAAAGGCACAAGATTCACCGTGTGGGCTGCAGTCAGTGAGGCCTCACACAGTCTTCTGCAACTTGGTACATTCCAAAGGTAACAGCTCAAATTCCCAGAATTCCCAGGAAGTCTGGTCCCCCGGAAAGTCTGGGAAATGTAGTCTCCACCTCATTTTCAGGAGACTATACTGGGCAAATGTAGCTGGACCCCCCAAATAGGAAACATTAAGGGATTGAGAGAAGATTTCGTTATAAGAGTTCCCCTTATCAGTGTTCCGTCACTCTTTAAAAAAAAAAAAGATTTGCAAGCATTGTGATTTTACACGAAGGCTTAAATGCCAATCTGCTATCCTTGAAGGAAAAACTGAAGAAAAATACATGGCCATATCCAGTGGTGGAATTCAATTTTTTTTTTACTACTAGTTCTGTGGGCATGGCTTGGTGGGCATGGCAGGGGAAGGATACTGCAAAATCTCCATTCCCTCCCCACTCCAGGGGAAGGATACTGCAAAATCCCCATTCCCTCCCCACTCCTGGGGGAAGGATACTGCAAAATCGCCATTCCCTCCCCACTCCAGGGGAAGGATATTGCAAAATCTCCATTCCCACCCCACTCTGGGGCCAGCCAGAGGTGGTATTTGCTGGTTCTCCGAACAACTCAAAATTTCCGCTAGCGGTTCTTCAGAACCTGTCAGAACCTGCTGAATAGCACCCCTGACCATATCTTAATGTTTTACTACCAAAAATTCTAAGGATGCAGATCACTCACTCTTGTCCTGGGCTGAAGGGGAGGGTGTTTCTGAAAATACTTCTTTTTGTTTAAAATGATTCCCTTCCTATGAGAGTAACTCTTCTTATCAAAATTGAAATTGGCTCTCCTATTCTATTCTATTCTATTCTATTCTATTCTATTCTATTCTATTCTATTATTCTATTCTATTCTATTCTACTCTACTCTACTCTACTCTACTCTACTCTACTCTACTCTACTCTACTCTACTCTACTCTACTCTACTCTACTCTACTCTATTCTATTCTATTCTATTCATTCTAAATGTCCACAGCCCCAGATTTGAGCTGCACCTCCTGGCTCAAAAACCGATAGCCCCCATCCGAAGATGCCCAAACTCGACAGCAAAAATGTTTCCCTATTTAACTGGAATGGGGCATCCAATGTCAGCCAGACATGAGGAAGCAAATTCCTCCTCCTTTTCCTCACTCTGACTTGGTCTGCCTTCCACATCTCTGGATCCTCCTGAAGGGAAGTCAAGTCTGAGGATGTTCTCAGTTGAAGGACAGTCAGTTAAAGCAGGGGTCTCCAACCTTTGACAACTTTAAACCTGGCGGACTTCAATTCCCAGAATTCCCCAGCCAGCTGGCTGGAGAATTCTGGGAATTGAAGTCCTCCAGGTTTAAAGTTGCCAAGGTTGGAGACCCCTGAGTTAAAGAACTCTGATTGATGGGATCCAGGAAGAGACCTTCTCTGCCACAGCTCCCATCCTGTGGAATATTCTGCCCCCCCCAGGTGAGGCAGCCCCCCCAAACTCTCAACCTTCTGGAAAGGCGTCAAAACATGGTTCTTTGACCTTGCATGGAGAACCCAGAGGATTACGCAGCCATGGGGCTGGTTAGCACCTTGAAAGCCCTCCCTCCGCCCTTCAATTAATTTTTTAACAGTGTTTTAATCAACTTTGCCTTTTAATTTTTAAAAAACATTTTATATACTGCTTTTAAATTTTTAACATTTTATTGTACACCGCCCGGAATCCCTCCATGAGGGAGATGGGCGGTTCCAAATAATAAATAAACGAATGAATAAATCCTCCAGCTGAACCTCTGACGATACTAAGTTTAGTAACAGTAACACAGTTGGAAGGGACCTTGGAGGTCATCTAGTCCAACCCCCTGCTCACGCAGGAGACCTGTACCAGGGATTCGAACCGCCGGACTGCCGACCTTTCCGATCGACAAGCTCAGTGTCTTAGCCACTGAGCCTTTGCAAGAGTCATGGGCCCTCCTTCTCTGCGTTTCAGTTTGCCAGCTTTGCAAGCCAGAGGCCCTGAAAAGTCATTTAGCATTGCTTTAAAAGAAAAGAAAAACATATTTTAAAAGAAAAAAGGAAAAAGGAAAAGAGGGACTTTTTACACCAGATGTTAGAAAAAAAAAACACGGAAACTCCTACCTCATCCTTGCTTACCCAGGAGAGCTGAAATTGACAAGGCTGGGACATACCTTTCTCCCTCTGAACTCTTCCCTCCCTCCATCGCCTTCCCCACCACCAAGCTTGCTATTTTTGGCAGGATCCTCCAAACTCCGCTCCGCCTATTAATAAGGGGAGTGAAAAATCTGTCGTGCCTCTGCTATATAAGGAAAGGTAGAAGGATCTACACAGCTAACTATACTCCGAGCCAGAGAGTGTGCACGCAGAAGCAGAAGAGAGTGGAGGGGGTAGAGGGTGGAAGAGACTCACACTTTTGGCACAAGGAATGGAAAAGAGATTGTGTCAGGACAATTCAGGGGCAGTCGCCTTGCGCACGTAGAGGGGAACAAATGCTCCGGCATCAGCTTTCAAAAATCTTTGATCGCCCACCTCTGGAAATCTCCTTTACAGTTTTCACAAACAAGCCACAATCCATCGCGTTTGTTTCTGAAGGTGGAATCATCACCTGTCACATCGCTGAACCCAAACCTGGTCCTGAATAGAATAAAAAAAATCCCACCCGGTCCGTTTTAGCTATGTTCTGCCCCAGCTACGGGTCCCAAGAAGTGTAGCCCACACACACAGCTCCAAAAACTCCGTTTAATACAAACAGACCCTTTTCAAAATGCAGGCTTTAACCACAAATGTCCTTATCAGCCTGCTATGAATTACAGAGATTAAACAAAGTCCGACAAGGGTTGGCAAAAAACTCACTCTCAAATTGCTCTGTGTAGGACCAAAACGTTGTTTCCAGCAACATTTGCTATCTGTGTGCGAACTTAAATAGGCTAAGGGAGTGGCCAATTAACCCCAAACCATACTCTCGAGGAGACCTCCTCCTGAGTAGCCACTCCTGCCTTTTGGCAGCCCTGCGTGCTCGAGCATTGGGAAGAGGCTCCTCCACTTCACTCTCTTCACTTGAAGGAGCCTCTGGAGGTTCTGAAGGCCCTGGCTGAGTCTCTGCTTCTGGCACCACATCCTCTTCTGCCTCCTCGCTGTCTGACTCGAGCGCCGGCTGCACAGGCTGCTGGCGCGACACCACACCAGCCTCCTCGTCGTCGGGATCAGCCACAACCCGTGCAGGCCTCTGGTGGGCCACAACAAGCTATTGGCCAAGTTGCCTGGACGAATAAGTCAGTTCTACACCATGCTCCATGCCTCTTACTTGTATTTCTGGACAAGCGTCTAGTGTTCCTCTGAATGAGGCTTACCCAATTACTGGGTCATGTTTGTGTCATAGGAAGTGGAGGGCAGCCCGAGTTTAATCAATCTTGAAGCTGTCTATCAGGATGGGGCAAAGATGTTTGCAATCTGGCAGTCACATTTACGTGTGATTCATAGCAATAATTGGTTATTTTTGAGCTCTTTGGCCTTTCAAAGAGAGGAATAATACGCATCATCCATTCTGCAGCTACATTTTCTACCCTGCCAAAAGTAGCAGCAGGGTCCTCTCCTTATTTTCTTGTGGAATAGGGACACCAAGCTGTTTCACTGACAGCAAATAAAATCCAAAGCAAATATCAGCAAGTGCTATTCTGTAAATGAGATGTCAACCTTCCCAAGTAATCCAGGCAGGAAGCACGACTAGATGAGCTAATTCGACTTTATTGTAGGGCTATACATTAACAGAATCTTGCAAGTACGAAAGAACAAAGCTCCCACTGTCTACCATCTGAGAAGCTAGGGAGGTTCCTTCCTGAGTTTCTTTCCCTGCCTGTTATGCAGCTGCAGGCTACACCCCTTCTTACCTTTTTTGTTAATGTACACTGAGAGCGTACTGTATGCACCAAGACAAATTCCTTGTGTGTCCAATCACACTTGGCCAATAAAAAATTCTATTCTATTCTATTCTGTTCTGTTCTGTTCTGTTCTGTTCTGTTCTGTTCTGTTCTATTCTTATCTGCTTGTTCCCTAGGCCAAGGGTCTCCAACCTTGACAACTTTAAGGCTTGTGGACTTCAACTCCCAACTCCAAAGCTGGCTGAGGAACTCTGGGAGTTGAAGTCCACAAGTCTTAAAGTTGTCAAGGTTGGAGACCCCCTACTCTAGAGCAGTGTTTCTCAAGCTTGGCAACTTTATGCTGGCTGCAGAATTCTGAGAATTGAAGTCCACAAGTCTTGAAGTTGCCAAGGCTGGAGACCCCTGCCTTAGGCAGCATCTCTTCCCCATATCCCAAGCAGGGGTGGGTCTCACTTACCTTTGCTACCAGTTCACTCGCATGCCACTTCCGCACATGCGCAGAGCATATTTGATGATGTCCAGGTGGGTGGGTGGAGCCTCCTGCTGCCGCTGCTACCGATTCGCCCGAACCGGGGCGAACCGGTAACAACCCACCACTGATCCCAAGGTCATTCCCACATACCACTACATGAGGCTAGTTACTAGCACTGCCTTAAACATTTCCTTTTTTAAAAGCAAGAGTGATAAAATAGAACCAGCAGATAAAACAAATGCAGCAAGAAATTGGATGCCTGTCAGGCGCAAATAACCGGGAGCATTCGTTGAGTCCAAAGCACAGGATTATTGCTACCTATATACAAGAATCTAGTCAACCAATCTTCAAAGCTAAATTGGTGGTAGATTAGGGTCAATAGAATTTAAGGGGTGGGGGCTGGACTTGGATCTCTTACAGCAATGCAATAACTCCAAACTGATAACACATTTAACTCCGCCTTCCAGGTCAGCCTGCTCTTCTCCTTCATCACCCTTAGTATTAGCAGTATTTCAGTTCCCAGGAGGATTTTGGAGACGCAAAATGACCACAGAGGCACATAGAAACCAGTGTTTTTCAAACTTGACAATTTTTAAGATGGGACTTCGGCTCTCAGAATTGATGTTGGCTGAGGAATTCTGGGAATCGAACTCCACCCATCTTAAAGATGTCGAAGTTTGAAAAACACAGAAATAAACTTGAAACTGTTCCTTTTTAATGTCAGAGAGTATCAAGAATATCAAATATGCATGAGTCAAAAAGAGGGCTGTGAAGATATTTACAGACCCCTCACATCCTGGACATAAACTGTTTCAACTCCTACCCTCAAAAAGACGCTATAGAGCGCTGCACACCAGAATAACTAGACACAAGGACAGTTTTTTCCTAATGCCATCACTCTGCTAAACAAATAATTCCCTCAACACTGTCAAACTAGTTACTAAGTCTGCACTACTATTCTCATCTTGTCATTGTTCCCATCACCCATCACCCATCTCCTCCCACTTATGACTGTATGACTGTAACCTTGTTGCTGGTATCCTTACGATTTATATTGATATTGTTTCCTGATCACTTATTTGTTCTCTATGACTATCATTAAGTGTTGTACCTTATGATTCTTGATGAACGTATCTTTTCTTTGATGTACATTGAGAGCGTATGCACCAAGACAAATTCCTTGTGTGTCCAATCACACTTTGCCAATAAAAATTCTATTCTATTCTATTATTCTATTCTATATACTTTTAAAAAATGCACTGCGTGTGAAAAAAAAATAAAACTTCAATCAGTCTCTGATACAGAAAGGACCTCCTAAAATAAGCTATTTGTTTCCTAAATGATACAGATGATTGGAAAGTCCTTGCTTTGCTTTTTTAAAAAAAACCCAACTCTTTGTATTCTGATCTTAATTTATTGAGTTTGTGTAAAGAAGTCAAGAAGCAAAACTAAGCATGCTCTGGTATACAATACTGCATTATTCCTGCCCAAGGAGCTGACTGTGACCCCACCTTGGGCCAAAAAGTTCTAAAATGCACTCACTCAACCAGCAGACTTGGTTCAGTTTCTTCCCTCCATTGGTCCATCCCAAATCTTTGGCTTCCCAAATCTTTGGCTTCAGGTAGCATCATCCTCTTCTTGCTGAAGAGGGAGGCTTGAGGCTTCAGCCTGTTTTGCTTTCTCTTGCTGAAATCAGTGTAACACATTTGCAACCGTCTCTTTCCTCCTCCTTTACGTTTCCTGGTTGGAGACCAAAAAGAACTTCCTGCTGTTGGTTCCCAGCCTGATTCATGCACAGGGATCTTAATTCAATGGTGAAATCCAAATTTTTTTACTACCGGTTCTGTGGGCGTGGCTTGGTGGGCGTGGTATGGCTTGGTGGGCATGGCAGGGGAAGGATATTGCAAAATCTCCATTCCCACCCCACTCTGGGGCCAGCCAGATGTGGTATTTGCCGGTTCTCCAAACTGCTCAAAATTTCCGCTGCTGGTTCTCCAGAACCTGTCAGAACCTGCTGGATTTCACCCCTGTCTTAATTCCTTCGGACATTCTTTCCCAGACCGATGTCCTCCACGTTAGGCTAGTGTCAGCACTTCAACCTGCATTTACTCTATTGCTGACATAAGAAGGAGAAGCGAAGGCATCTGGAAAGGGACGTTTGACTTTTCACCTACTTATTTTCCCTGGAGATAATATCCCCTAGGAGATGGGATGGAAGGGGGGAAATTCCTTTGAGCTGGAGTAGATTAGGGGTAGAATGACTTGGAAAATGGCTAATGAGTGCAGGGGAGTGGGGAACGGAAAGGGAGGGTTTTGGGGCTGGAAGTCAGTGTTGGCTTCGATTGGAGTTGGGTTTAGAATGTTGTGCTTAATAAATAGGAGTTTTTCTTCAAAGACTTTGTTTGAAATGCAATTTATTTGATACGACCTCGAAATTTGACAGCTAGATTGTAACATGCCTAGCGACCATTCAAAGTTACAACAGACCTGCTCAGGGCTACTTACGACCTGGATTCTAGGTTCCAAATGGCCGGGCCCTTTCCACAGTCATGGAATCATATTTTAGGTGTTCAATAACCAGCCTGCATTTACAGTGATTTGCAGTGTTCCGTCATCATTGGACCACGATTCGTGTTATTTTTGCCAGAAACCGACATTTATTTCTGGTGTCTGGCAAAAAAAAAAAGAAAGAAAGAAAGCCTATTGCACACAATGGATTCAGTTAACCATGACACTCTCTTAATGACCATGAATTTGCTTAATAACTGCCATAACTAAGTCTTAAAATGAGGTCAGTCACATAATGACTGCCACCTAACAATTGGGTTATGAC